CTCGTTAAATTAACGTTACCATTTCTTCAGAACTGCTTTCAATCTTTGCCGGGAACTCAAAACAAAACACGTACTTGCCATTCTGGTCTAGCATTTCCATTTTCGCTATCAGTTGAGTGCTTGGGTACATGCTCTTTATCTCGAGCGAAATGACCGCTTTGTATTCGACATTGGGCTCCAGCGGGCACTCAAGTCCATGGCCAGTGCATGCTTTTGGTTGATCCAGCGGGAAAGGCAACCAAGGTAGACTAGGGAGCTTTCCGTACACCTTAATTAGACTAGCATTTGTTATTTGCTCCTGGGATTTGAATGTCACTGTACCATTGACAACGCTTCCTTTCTTGAAAACACATGGATCACTCGGACATGGTGTGATGTCTACGGAAACGACAGTTCCATACGATTGTGTTTCTTCGGGACACTTGCTAAAATGAATGTGTGTTCCAACCACCGAAGAAAAATGAAACGCCACGAGGTAGAACAGGACGATAGTTGCTTCCTTTATGGCCATATTCAAGTCGTTGTTTCACTTGCAGGTTGCCGCACGAAGTTTGAACTGAATAATGTACGAAAGTTATATTTAATAACTTGTGTTGCGTGACATCGTATGATGATGCGTACGCGCATCACAAATTCGTCCCCAGGATCTTACATCATTGTTGTATAGAGAAGGAAGAAAATAACAGAGACATTTGCAAAACCGTCCGAAAATATTGGCTAAAAAAACAATTGATGTTCTTCACATGACAGTCGTAGAATCAGATGATAGTCACAGATGCACGTAATAGTCATAGTCCTAGGACCCTATATTATCACGACCTTGAAATAGTAAACCAGTAAGGTCAGGAAGTAAACTTTAAGGGAGACCTACGTAAAACCGTCCAAAAATGTTTGTTATAAAATAAAACTGATGTTGTTCACATGACAGTCATAGGGACACAAGACAATAATAGTCGCATGATAATAATAGTCACATGATCGTGAGAGTCACATGATTGTAATAGAGTCACATGATAGTAATAGTCACATGATAGTAATAGAGTCACATGATAGTAATAGAGTCACATGCTAGTCAGAGTTCAAGGAAACTATATCATCTCCACCTTAAAATAGTAAACTAGTAAGTAAACTTTAAGAGAGACCTCTGCAAAACCGTTCGAAAATGTTTGCTTTAAAAAAATTGTGGCTCTTCACATGACAGTCATAGTCACATGATAGTCAGACTCACATCAGTAAAATGATTTTTTTTTTTAATAAACCAATTATAACAATCTTTATTTAGCAATAATTTCCATTAAATCCCCTACAATACAAAATATTAACAGCGTAAAAAACAATCCAAAATAACTCACTTTCGGCTCACATCTACTCCTTTTTTTTTTTTGTCAAAACGTCTGGAAAACTATAAATAATGGAGTCAAATCTGAACAGATTCAAAGACTAATAGTTTGACAGGTAAAAGCATATCCGAAACTATACAGAAAAGAGAAAGGTGTATGGCAAATCTAGAACCCTATATACAAGGCTGCTAAAAGTCATTAAACAATGTCAATGGCTCCCTCGGCAGCTGCGATTTCAACGTCACAATTATTATCGTCATACGCAGCGCGTCGCTCCACCCGCGATCCTCGAAGGCAAACTAAGGCCGACCGAAGGAGGGCAAAGGATGTCTTTGCTCGGATCCAGGAAATTGTTTGCGAGTATCGTTCCCCTTTCTTACCAGCTATCAGCTCGGCCAATCGGCTGTGGTATCTTATGCATTCCATCCCCATCCCTCCCGTAGTTGTAAATACAAGCGGCGTAAACGAGCCATGCTCGTAAAATGATGATAATAATAATANGGAATAAAGTAAATCAAGTCGTTCGTATATACCAAAATCTACAATATGGTAAGCGTACGTGTCAGCTTTAAATTAAAAGGGAGCTAAAAAAAGTTTAATAATTTAAATCAACGTTTTTAATAAAACAATTATTCCACTCGCGCTTGTTGGATATGAGATGATAGATAGCCAACGCGCGCTCGTGGAATAATTGTTAATTAGACGTTTTGTTGTGTAGTATCGCTGAGTATTTTTACGAGTTGTGCCGTGTTTTGACTCGCCCTACGGGATCGTCAAAATACAAATAACGAGTAAAAATGCTCAGCGATACTACACAACAAAACGTCTAATAAGTTATTCATTATCCAACACGCCAAACTGTTATTTCAGTGCGGGCGAATTTCGCGGATGTTTATTTACGGGGAGTGCGTGACAGGAATATGCGAAGCTGAACGAAATATGGAGCGTTGTTATGTTGCTGTTTCTTTTTTCTTCAAGAAGTGAAGAAATTTCCAGGTCGTCTAGCTGTTTTTCTTCGTTCGATTCATCTTGTAAACTTGGATGTATATTTACCAACCATTCTGAATCTTCGTCGTCGGAAATATGATTCAAATTGTCCGCCATTTTTTTTTGTTCGTAACTACAATTCAATTTTTCGCTTACGCGTTGCGAGAAAACCTGTTTAACCGGCACTCTACATGCCCAGTACAAATACCGCGTGATATTTGTACTCGTCTATGGCGTTATTTGTACTCTACGAAGTGTAGTTGGATGATAAAACTCGTTATTCTTGATTCTCACAGCTTCACATACGATTTGAGAGCTTCTTCCTGGTTATTCAACTTTTCTGGTATCGAGAACAATGAGTAAGCTTGTTCTAAGGGACTGAATTAGCAAATGAGGTCGGAGGAGTGAGTAGGGTCAAAGATAATATCTATCAAACCTTTCTTTCAGTTTGGGAAGGGTTAAAAAAGTGCCAAACGCCAATGCATTAGCAGTAGGAAACGAACCTTGAGCAATCCATACTGTTGCCGAGGATCGTGGTCCCATGTACAAATCTTCCAGCTGTAGATTGATCCAGACCTTCCCGGCTGACCTTTCCGTCCTTCTCTACCAGGAAAACCGGGGGACCCTTTGTCCCCCTTAGGTCCACGGACTCCCTGTTCTCCCCGAGCTCCTTTGAATCCACTGTTCCCAGGTAACCCTGTGGGTCCTTGTCGACCCGGAAGGCCTGTGAGTTAAGCAAAAAGGTCATTCATGAATGGATACTACCCCTGTTTATCGTTTGTTTTATTGAAAAAAAGTATTAAAGAAATGCACATCTTCTGCTTAACAATTTTAGATCACCTTTTGATACCTAGGGTTTTTGTGAATCTCGTACCCAGGTTCTACCGTGTTACTGTACTTTCCAACCGCTTTCCCGACACTGCAATCACCGTCAAAATTAGTTGACGCATCATGTTTCAAAAAATTCTATTTATGTGAAGAATAACATTCCTGTTTCTACCTCACTCTTAATCATTATCAACCCCCCTTCCCCCATTCAATGTTCATTGAATCACGAAAAAACATTGTTTTTTAAGGGGGGGAAGGGACGAATAAGTTAACTTAACGAGGGCATTATCAACCCCCTTCCCCCATTCAATGTTCATTGAATCACGAAAAAACATTGTTTTTTAAGGGGGGGAAGGGACGAATAAGTTAACTTAACGAGGGCATTATCAACCCCCCTTCCCCCATTCAATGTTCATTGAATCACGAAAAAACATTGTTTTTTAAGGGGGGGAAGGGACGAATAAGTTAACTTAACGAGGGCATTATCAACCCCCCTTCCCCCATTCAATGTTCATTGAATCACGAAAAAACATTGTTTTTTAAGGGGGGGAAGGGACGAACAAGTTAACTTAACGAGGGCAATATCAATCCCCCTTCTCCCATTCAGTGTTCATGGAATCATACAAAGACATTGGTTTTTTTTTTGTTTTTGTTAAATTAACGAGGGCAAAAAAGATAAAACTGAAATATTAGGGGGTTGAAAAGATCAAAGTGTCAACGATGGTAGGTTGTCATAGCAACACTACATATACAGAAGTAAATGACCTTACCTGGTTGACCTTTTCTCCCTTTGAGTCCAATAAGTGGATAGGGGTCTACAATATAACTGTATCCCTTAGCACCTTTCTGACCCCTACTTCCTTTCCTCCCGGTTGCCCCTGTTAGTCCCGTGATTCCGATAGGCCCACGGGCTCCGGGGGATCCAATGAAGTCTTGCTTGCATTTATTTTCTACCTGCAAAATGACAAAAAGTGGTTAAAAAATTGGAAAAAAATTAATTAAGAACTATTCCTATGGCTAAATAGGTGCTTTCTGCGATGATGAAATTTCCCTCTTGACTATTTCTTTCTCTTTAGGAAACTAGATGCTGACATTTTGATCTATTTTCTCAGTTTTTGGCCTTTTTATGTCCTTCTTGTATAAGTTAATACACTGATTGGCAATTTACCGAGACTGCGAGGAGAATTTATGTGGCTATCGCGTTTGGGAATTATGGCATCAAAATTCTTTGGATTTGCGCGTTTTCGCAGACCTGAATTATAGGTTTTGTATTTTTGAACTCGAAAACAACAAACAAACGAACAAACAAATATCTTCACAAATAGAGTTCATGGGTACCACAGGACCCGCACACTACGACTCTGTATCTTACCTGGTAGCAAAGGAATTTTCCCCAACGAATTGTCCTTTGAGTATGAACTGCTTGATAAACCGATAACAGGACGAGCAACTCCAGAATTCTTGCCATCGCTCAAGAAGTAGAGGTAAGACAATATAGTTGAATGAAACTATAGAAACAGAAAAAGCGATCTTTCTAAGTAACAGCAGAACAGTCTGGACGTAGAATCTAAATGATTTTGACAGAAATTTCATACTTCGAGCGCGGAAAGGTAAAGTTCACACTTCGTGCGCGGGAGAGGTAAATGCTCGCGCGAAAACATGCGTGGGTAAAATGATTCACGCGTGAGAAAGCGGGCGCTCTCATTCATCGGTAGCTGAATCTGTATTCAAACAACAAATGGAAACAATACAGCCCGTCGCAAAGAAAATCGTAGAAAATTGAATTTCAGACTTGAAATTGAACAAATGCCTGCTTACAAGCCATATGTAAACACTGGAGAATTAAATCAGTTTGCGAATATAAAGTGGTCTGACCACAATGCAAGAGCTGAGAATGTATCGAAAAATTTTTGATAACAGTGAATAATATTATACGTGAATAGCGTTCGCTGTAAAAATACTCACCGTTGTATTCAATGTCTCGTTTGATTATCTGAATAACGAAAAACCGCGGAGCATATTTTGTGAAAGATTATAACTTATAGTATGTGGGCTCTGTGTCAAATGTCGGCGAGCAACAGTTAATCCTTTGTTTTTTTATTCTTTAAAAGAATTAATCTTTTCCTGTTATGGTCACGAAATGAAGTGGGCTTGGATAGCGGGGAGGCGGGAGAAGGATGAAAATCTGTCGGGGTGGAGAGGGGGGAGATTTGTTCTATGTCTTATATACTCAGAACCGTGCCGGCAGGAGCCGAAATCTCCTTTTTCCGTTTTTTACGTTGCAAATACATTGTTTTGGTCTTAATCAAAGGATAATCAGTTCCATCAATCAGAGAAGTAGAGTTGAAAGTAAAGTTGAAAGTTGAAAGTTGAGAGCTGCAAAGCCTAGTACTGAAGAAAGCTAAATATCAATAAGGTGCAGTTAAGGATGTCTAACAATGTTCCCTCTTTGCAAATGGTGGCAGGTAAATCTGGCAAAAAATGACCTTTTATCTCTCGCCATCGTTGCTCTCTCAGAACGTATTTAGAAGTTGAATTGTTGCAGACAAGTTAACGAGAAGTAGAAAAGTAAAGAGAATAAAGAAAATAGAGAAAAATACCAATCAGGAAATTGTGAATCTATGGAATAACAAATTCTCTGAAGAAACATTAGAAGGATTGTTTTGTAGACAGTACGGAGAACCGCTAATGCGATCTTGGGAGTAAATGGTCAAAGCAAGAGCTGCCTGTGCGCTATAAGTGTCATGGCAAGGTGTTACAGGGTAAAATGGCATCGCGAAAGGAGGAAAAAAATTCCTCTTCACTGGACAACTTATCCAGCTTAGTGTAAACTCGTTCAACCGTCATCATTTCTTTTCAGAAATCCTTCTAAATCAATACACAGCTGATTTATCATAGAGTGTTTTCTTGATGAAAAAACAAACTATAGAATCTGGATAACATTTTTCATTCATGGCCAACCTCGTTCTCAGGGTCTCTGATTTCAACTCCTCTCTCGCCCCAGGGGGCGGGAAGATGAGAGACCCTGGGAACGAGGTTGATTCATGGCCTAGTTAAAAATCTCTGAACCCTCCAATGAGGTCTAAGAAGGATTACTGAATGCAGCCTGTTTATGTATCTTAAATTCACTGTAAGCCATGTGCCTAAGAAAACTCGTTGGAACGTTTTTAGTCCTGCAAAGAACAGCTAAAGTAAACAATATTCACCACTCTGTTGCTCTTGGCATGTTTTACTGTACGCTGGTGTGTTACTTGCTACAGTATCCAATGAAAATGTGGATCAACTTCAGTATCTGAGCAGCAGCGCATCTATCCCTCCCCTAACAGTCAACTGATAACAAGTTAGGTTTTGTCATGGGCTTAGCCAGGATCATTTTGCAAAAGCGGGGGGGGGAAGTCACACTGTGTCAAACAGGGGGTACTTACCAGACTGTCATGTCGACTTCCATGCCGTGTTTTACTTAAAATTAGGCTTACAAAAAAAGAGGGGAAGGGCACCCCAGGACCCCCCTAGCTACGATCCTGTTAGTGTTGGGTCAGGTGAGGGGCAGGTACGCAGTTGCTTAGATACTGAAACTGATCCAAACTACAGAGTACTGAAAGAACTAGCAAGCAGATTTTAACAAACTTTTTAAAATAATATTCGCATATTTAACGTTGCGGGGCGGAAACCTCTGTTACAATCAATCGACTGTTCGGCTGCATAACTGCAGAAATATTCTGCTTGTTACTGGGATATCCGGGGCAATCATCCAGTGAGACTCCTATGCGAACCAGGCCCCCAAGGACTGAGTTGCAGTACCCGGAGATCGTTCCGTGCATAAACACTGGAAGAGAACTTCTTTCACCACCAGCGGCTAAGTTCAAGGCGCTGAACACGGCATTGATGTTTCCAGGGTCTGTGCACGTCAAGTTGTCAAACGTGAAGTGCCAAGTTTTGCAGCAGGTCTCACACAGACCGATGTGTGTCTCTCCCTGGTAGGTGACATGAAGTGAGGTGTCGCTGTGCTTTTTAAGAAACGAGCAGAACTATATGAAGAGAAAGGATGGCATGAGTTAAGTTGGTGTATTTCAGCTCTAAGTACAATGGGAGACGAGATATTTTAGACAACGCGCCTTTCGGTCAATCACTACCTTGTTCAGCAGAAAAACAGTCGGTTAAGCAGTCAATCGATTGGTTGACCAATCAGTCAGTTAGTGAGTTAGTCAACTGGTCAGTGAGTCAATCAGTCAGTGAGTCAGTGAGTCAGTCACCTAGTCAATAGATTGATCAGTCGGTCACTCGGTCAGCTAGTCAGTCCGTCAGTCAGTCAGTTTCTCAGTTAGTCAGTCAGTCAGTCAGTTTCTCAGTCAGTCAGTCAGTCAGTCAGTCAGTCAGTCAGTCAGTCGGTCGGTCGATCAGTCAGTCAGTCGGTCGGTCGATCAGTCAGTCAGTCAGCCAGTCAGTCAGTGAGTCAGAAGTTGAGGAGTCTTAAAATTCAATCGTCTGTGTACTTCCTTATACTTACAGACAATTCTCCTTTTGGTGTATTTATATCGGGTTTGAACACACATTGCTTCCAGTTCAGCTCGCTGACTCCAGGGTCTCCAGTGATCCCTCGGGGTCCAGTCTCGCCAACTTCTCCTTTATCTCCTGATATCCCCGGGGGTCCCCACGATCCTAGCGCTCCTGAGCCTCCGGGTATCCCTGGTTCCCCCTTAATTCCCTTTGCCCCTTTCGCCCCTCTTTCTCCAAGGTCCCCTTTTGATCCTTTCACAGGAAAACCACCACCTCCCTGTGGGGAATCACCGGGTTCTCCCGGTAACCCTCTGTCACCTAATGGACCTCTTGGTCCCCGGGCCCCTTTAAAACCTTGGGCTCCAATCGGTCCGCGGGGTCCGGGAAGACCAGAAAGCAGCTCGCACGATTCCATCATCTGCGAAATGAAAATTTCATTTACTTCTTTTCATTGAAGGGCAAATAGCAGAATAGGTTGATAAACTATCCACAGGGGGGGGTGGAGGAGGTAATAAGTGTTGTTGGGCATGAAAAAGAGAGAATTCGATCCTTTTTTAAAAAGAGTCATGCTCCACGGGTATTAAACACAGGGCTTGTTTTTTCATATATCCTCTTAAAAGAGGAAAGGAAGAGCCAACCCATAGTGGGGGAGGGGTAGGTAAGGGGAATGTAGCGCTGAAGATCGCTTAAGATAGATTTCTTATGGAGTGTATAATTTTCTATTAATGGCTTCCATTTGGAAATAAGCCGGCATTAATTAATAAACTCAGAAACTGTTTGGCTTCGACCAAAAATGGCCTAGATTATGGTCTTCAAAACGGCCTGTTACACACAAGACACAGAATAAGTAGCGTAAGCAAGAATGTGTTTACTTAGAACGTTTCAAAAAAAAAAAAAAACAGAGAAGAGACCTCACCTTGCGACATTCTGATGGTGTCCACACAATATCCCTTTGGGCAAAAATTGTCTTAAATACGACGAAAGACAGAAATAATAGAGAAAATTTTGCCATCATCTCCGTCCGATTAAGCGCGCGCGTCACGATCACGGGAATTACAATTTACTGTCGATCCATGTCTGTTTTCTTTCAGAGATTACGTGACGCTGACAAAATTATCGCAAAACAACAGGATGTCTTTGTTAACTCATTCATCTCCGGGGGATTTCCGGATTTAAAGTGAAAAATTCTGCTTTAAGTGCACGAAAAACAGCCCTAAAAAATTCTCGTTTTGAATTAATAATTGTGCATTGTTCGTTCATTGTCTAGGAGTGTCTTTAAAGCAAATAATAATACAATTAAAAAAGAGATAAGAAAGAGACTCTAACACGGACCTAGGATTTTCACATCTGCCGATTATGCGCATTTAAATTTTTCTTCTTCCTGTTTGAAGCGCTCGAAGTGAGGTGCGTGCGAGTGTATGAAACATGCGTGTACAAGCAGTGTGAGATAATTGACAGGCGTGGGGTTCGCGCAATAAATGATGGACATCAATATTGTGATAATAAAAGCCTGGCCAAATGATTTTAGCTGCCAAAGTTTCTTGGGAATAAGCCACCATGCCATGCAAGTACTAGTGGCAATTTCTGCTCCACAAGATGCAAAAAATCATGTAAACTACAAAATACCTCTCTTTCCCAGATTTATCCCTCAAACGAAAGAGAGAAGAAACGAAGAGAGACAAGCAAACTGATGATGTATTCCCGCGCAGTAATGCGAGCAAGAAGAGGAGGTTTATCGACCCCAGTTGAACGGCCATGTTGGGAAGAGAAGGAGTGCTGATGTAAACATAGGACGAGAAAGAGGGGGTAATTAATAGAAAAATCTCTGATTAATGAATGCTTTACTGTTCGACTCGATCATCAAAAAGAAGAAGACGATATTCTTCTTAAGAGTTCCCAAGATTCTCAAGAGTTCCTTAGATACAGGGGTTAAAATAAAAGCCCCAATAGTTTGCAATGACTGATATATTTATTCAAATACTCATGACCTTAAATTCACCAAGTAATTCAACAATGTAGACTAAAGACTTTTTAAAACTTTTTCCACAGGAATACCCGCGCTGTAATCGATATCCACTTGTTTTTGGGGAAAATAATTCTTTACAGCGCGCAATTAAAAAAAGACAGAAATTGTCATAAGCTTCACAGCTACGAAAAGAAAAAGGAAAAAAAGGGGACCACGTGAAGACTCCGGCAGAGAGAAACCGGGAAAAACTTCAGAGGCCATTGGTCACAGATGCATTTCATTGCGCTGGAGGAATTTCTCGAATGAGTATGCTTCCATAACGCTTATAAAGTTGTATATTGTAAGGTAACGTAGAGCTCGCAAAAGTCTTACAGTTCTCCATTTGCAGTCCAATTCGAACTAGCCCTGAAGAAAATCTTCTTTCACAAAAGCCTTCGATTCTTCCATAAGAGTAAAACGGGTAGTTACGACCCAGACCTCCCGACATTATCGCGTCGACAGGGCCTGGGTTGTTACACTCGGCGTCGTCGAATATAAAGTACCAACGCTTGCAACAGTCCTGGCAAAGACCGATCTGTAGATTGCCTTCATATACCACGTGCAATACTGAGTTGGGGTCTTTTTTTGAGAAAATACATTCCTGAAAGAGAGAAATTTATTTTGATTGGTACTGAAAATAGAATCAAAATTCATAGAATCTATTCACGATTCTAGGAATTTTAAGGAAGACCTCTTTGCATGGAAAGACTATTAACAATATAATCACGAACATCATCGCAAACAAAGATTGGATAATAAAACAGATAAGATGTTACGACACCTTCAGCAGCCCGTTATCTTTATTGCGGTTTAACTCCCAGGAGCAGCGCGTCCAAGCTCCCATTGTGCCGGCGGACCCTGTCATCCCAGGGGGACCTTGTTCTCCAGGGCTTCCCTCGGGGCCTATCCTTCCCTTATCCCCATCAAACCCCTTGAATCCTTTCCTTCCCCTTTGTCCATTCTCTCCATTGTCTCCACGGTCCCCAGGGTTTCCTCTCCTTCCACTCTCACCGCGATCCCCTGAGGGACCCGGGCGTTGACCCGTGGGTGGCCCCGCTGGTCCTGGAGGGCCAGGTCTAGATCTTCCAGGAGGTCCTCTAAACCCCTTTGGTCCTGCGGGTCCCGCCTGGCCCGGTTCACCCGGGCTCCCATTGATTCCTGGAGGCCCGGGTATTCCTTGGATGCCACGCGTTATCCGATCACAGGCCTGGGTCATCTGAAGCATGAAAAGGTTCGCATCAAAACACTACGTTAATCTTGTAAAATTTACATCGTGGGTCATTTGATCATAATCGTAAAATAATGCGTGGTTGACCAAAATAAAGTTGTCAAAAGGCCAAATTTTGGTTTCTCAATTGACACATCACCTCTCGAGCATCTCACACATTACAGGATCATTCTCGCGCGGCGTGAAGCAAACGCGAATATCTCGTAAGGAACATTTTTAAGTCGGAGACATCAATGAGTGGAGGAGCAAAGGAGTAAAATCACCCTCGTAACCAGCCAAAGGAGCATGCGCAGGGAAATTATCGTGAACACGCGTTCCAGCGTTATTTTCTCGCGCGCGGGTAACACGCAATGCCTGCAAGTTGAGTATGCTAAAACAATTAAGGGATTTAAACTGATCAGCTCAGATCAAATCAGCTTCATTGTTTACTATCTGAATAAAGGTGTATAGTTATGACTTTGACTGTTTAAAAAATCTTAGTATGCATTGAAAAGTTTACTCAGAAAGTCGCATAAAAAGTTGCTGGCAATCGCTTTCTCTTCAGCGGGAGATTCGAGGAGAAGAGGGGGGCGCCTGGCTGAAAGATTTGCCACTAGGGGGGAGAGGGTCATTCTTACCCTTGTACAATCTCTGTTTCTCCAAGGTGTAATTCTTAACTGCCCATAGATAGCTAACAGGAAGGCATTTTGAACGGTTATTAAAAGCGCCAACTTCATGTCCTCACTAGCAACATTTACCTTAATCGTCAAAATAAGAAAAAATAAAGCAGAATATTAGGAGATAAATAAGGAATAGCTTTGTTTTGAATAAGAGAGCCTTGGGGAAAGGTTATTTTGAAACCAGAGCGCTTCATCTGCGCTGGTAAACATCATCATTTGAAGGTTACAAAAAACTGGTGAAATACTGTTCTAGGGGAGGCGAACTCGAAAACATTTTCACTAAAAACGGTCTGTTTAATGTGAAGAGAGGGGAGTAGGGTTTAAAACAAACGTATGTTCTGGGGGTGGGGGTGGTATTGCAGAAAAGTAATAAAAAGAAAGCGAGAACATGGTACGAATTGATACAGGGCTCTCAAAAAATATACTAGTGAAAGAATACGACAAAATCTCATCGTCTAATAGATCTAGTTAATGTTGAAATCTGAAGCGAGGAATGGATCGATCGTACCTTGAAAAATTTGCGCAAATCTTCTGCTCGGTGGAAGTCGAACGGTCACTTAGTGAAGACAGTGTCTCAAGTCGACTCTTCTTTCCTGGTAGTGTTAGGTACCAAACCAGTCGTTTAGTGATAACGTCGAAGAGCGCAGTGCATTCACTTACCTAAGCGAGGCGGTATGTTTTCGGAATACGTGATATATTTTGAATCTTAGCGTGTCAGAGAACAGAGCAGCCAGATAACCTTTGGCTTTGTAATGGAATCTGATAGTGTTTTTCACAGGGGAGGTAAGTTCCCTGCCTGGTTTAAAGTAATCGGCTTTGTGGTATAATCACGCTCACGTAGGTAAGAGATACGCGAGACGCGCGTGTGCTGCTCGCAGCTTGCGTGCGAGATTATCACCTAAGATCTTCCGGTGTCCTAACGAAACCTATCTGCAGCGTGTAAAGGACCGTTTCCTTTTCCTCGTGTACCTTACAACTAAAATGGCTGACTACTACATAGATTTCTAGTTTCATTAAAAACGATATTTCGTAAGTTTTGTTTTCTCAATCACGTCAAACAATTTTTGTTCTTCGGCGTCCAGCGGAAGTCATTTCTCGAAATGTGGGAGCTTACAAGTGAATGACGAGAGGGCAAATCTAATATTCCCTCAAAGCCACTCGTCTATAAGTCTACTCTCCCAAAAGTTCTACTCAGATATTCAATGGATGTTGTCCTTAAGTGCTCAAGGTAATTCCACGTGTAATTTTCCAGAAGACATGAGCTCAACGATATTACAACCCCTGCTTGTTTTACAGTTCTGTAGATGGTAACATTGTCACTTTTGGAGTGCCGGTAAAAAAAGGACCGTTTGATGTCCCTTCAACAAGCAACCAAAACTAGGGAAAAGAAGATTTATTGCCAAATGAAAATGTCGAAAAGAACACGTTTAATTAAGCGTTTGACCGCTAAAAGTGAGTACTTGATTTGTTAACATTTTCCTAATCAGCACCAGGAAATAAATAACGGATTGCGGGGTGAATACGCACGATGATGCTAGGGTGTCAAATCTATAGTTGTACTGAATTCCTTACTGAGACTGAATATTCTTGATAAAAGAGTTTGACTCAGTGGGAGGGGGTGGGGGTGTGTTGCTCCTAAGGGGGGAGGGGGATAAGATCTTCTGTTAGTCTAGAAAAAGTAGAAATTCGTAACCGTCTTGCGTGTCTGTGAAATGCTAACATAGGATGCCCCTGAACTTGGACTCTGAGTTTCACAGTCCACTAATAATATATAAATTAAGTTATTGTTTAGTCACTGTGAAACAGATCTCTTTATTTTTGTTGAAATTTTACATGTTGGTTTCGGTTTAGGAACTTGACAAGACCTGTGGAACCAAAACAGAAATAAAATGTGAGTGTAAACTGTCGTTAAAAAAAAGCTCTCTCTTGAAATCAGATTACATTCAGATTACATTCAACTCTAGGAAAAATAATGTTCACCAATAAAAGCAGTGAAAAATGGAAAGATCGAAGAACTGACAAGAACAAAAATTAACCCAAGCAACCAGAGAAAATAAAGAGCTCATACAATCTTCCACCATGAAACTACTGCGTAACAACCCCTTACACCCTAGCCCAGTTTTCTATATTCTCCGTACTGTTCTCTATACATTTCCTAAGGGGCTCACAAGGAGAATTTGTTTAACAATCAAGACCTTCTATAGTTGGTGATCATTTCTTTGATTCTTATGACCTTGATGTATGATTCAAGGGCTTTATTGTAAGGAGAAATGAGACAGTAACCTCTCTTAGAGGTGGAAGAGCTAAATGACTTGCATTTAAACCTTGCTGCATTGACAAGAGGACACTTCCTCTCTTGTATCTTCACAGAATTAGATGTTGTTGTTGTTGTTTTTTTTTTGGTAGGAGGGGAGGGGGGTTGGGGTTGGGAGAGCAGATCCTTAAAAGAAATTCTTAAAGGAAGATTAAGAACAAACATTATCCTACATATGATGTTTAATTTCAGCCACTGCAATCAGAGGAAAGAGCAGCCTTAAATCCCATAACTTCAAACAAATATGTGTACAAATCAGGAGATAAACTGGATAATTTTGACAGCCCTAACTGTAAATACATCTCCAACAAAAAAAATTAAACTTCAAGATTACCTGGCAAGCAATTCGGTCCAAATCCCGCTGACCTTGACTTGTGATTGCTCGGCCACTGAAACAAAAAAACCTTTTCTATCAGCAAACATTGCAAACAAAGATATCCTCTTGTTTTGAGGGAACTGACCACATAAAAGGTATGGCTGAAGGAACAGAAACTATGTTAAATGGCAGAAAGTTTGCCTCACATGTACATAAAGACAATTCTACAAAATAGGTTCTTTATCTTACCCAGTGTTGTCCTTTTCAACCATTTTAAGCTGTTCCAAGCCTTTCAAAATATTGCGAGCAATGGATGAAGAGCCGCGCTCAAAATGACTTGGCCTGACACCACGTCGCTTACGTCCTGCACAACACAAGAAATATTCTGGTTTGTCTCCGCCTTATAATTTTGTTCCTCGAGGTAACTAGGGATACATGCAACCTCTTTCTCCTTCAGTAAATATCTTCCCTCAAACTAACAAATGTACACGACTTGTATAGGTTAAAGTAACTAAGTAGATAAGATAGGGGTGACTTTTCTAGTTTACTCCTGCACAAAATAATTGTTGTTTTAAAGGAGTTAATGTCAGTGAATTGGTTGGAAAACCACCATAGTTCTGCATAAGCCCACTTTCATCCTTGTGCTCTTAAAATCTTTCACAACACTCTATTGCTTCGAGAAAATCAGAGAACTACAGACACCCTAACCTATGATGTTTTATTCTTTTGTTCTACAGATAAAGCTAACATCAATTGGTTTGTGATTCTGAGGTTTGCTCGCAAATCGTGAACATTACTCTGATTACGTATATATGCATGATCCTTCGCAGTAAAGCACTATTTGAGCAATAGTGAAAATCAGACCTGAAAAAAATTTCAGGCCTGTACGGGATTCGAACCACTGACCTCTGCGATACTAGTGCAGCGCTCTACCAATTGAGCTAACAAGCCAACTGGGAGCAGGCCATCAAATTAATTCGACATAAACCCGTAGATGATAAATCAAACAACAACAAACATATGAAACATATGTATGAACTGCGGTTATGAAACGTATATGTGCACGATCCTTCGCAGTAAAGCACTATTTGAGCAATAGTGAAAATCAGACCTGAAAAAAATTTCAGGCCTNGGTCTGATTTTCACTATTGCTTAAATAGTGCTTTACTGCGAAGGATCGTGCACATATACGTTTCATAACCGCAGTTCATACATATGTTTCATATGTTTGTTGTTGTTTGATTTATCATCTACGGGTTTATGTCGAATTAATTTGATGGCCTGCTCCCAGTTGGCTTGTTAGCTCAATTGGTAGAGCGCTGCACTAGTATCGCAGAGGTCAGTGGTTCGAATCCCGTACAGGCCTGAAATTTTTTTCAGGTCTGATTTTCACTATTGCTCAAATAGTGCTTTACTGCGAAGGATCGTGCACATATACGTTTCATAACCGCAGTTCATACATATGTTTCATATGTTTGTTGTTGTTTGATTTATCATCTACGGGTTTATGTCGAATTAATTTGATGGCCTGCTCCCAGTTGGCTTGTTAGCTCAATTGGTAGAGCGCTGCACTAGTATCGCAGAGGTCAGTGGTTCGAATCCCATACAGGCCTGAAATTTTTTTCAGGTCTGATTTTCACTATTGCTCAAATGGTGCTTTACTGCGAAGGATCGTGCATATATACATTTCATAACCGCAGTTCATACATATGTTTCATATGTTTGTTGTTGTTTGATTACTCTGATTAGTTAAGTACTGTACATTTGACCTGTCAGAATTGAATAGAAAAGTTCACAGTTTTCTGGGTCCATAGGAAATCCCGTGATACCCATTTGTTATTTTTTTCCTTTTCAGAATCAATGTGCCTGGATGTCTATGAAAATTGTTGAGAGAAATTCCTTGTAGTCTCTCCTAGGAGTAAAGGAGAGAATATTCTCCAACATAGAAAAATTAATCCTTTTCCCTTTCAAGTTTATTCTATTATTTTCAGGTTCTAATCCAATAATGACAATAATATTTTCAACCCCCTACTAACTACCCAAACTACTGTGACATAATCAACCAATGTAAAATATATGTATACACAAACATACCTCCATAGACACGAGTGAGGTGACCAACACCGATACCACTGCGCAGGTACACATGACGGAGGATTGAAGCTGTTTAAATCAATAGCAGACAGTGAGACAACAATCAGATGCCAAATTTTTAGCCTTAATTCTTTAGGTGATTATAGGAACAACACCACTTGCATTAAACACTTGGCTCTTCACCCCTTAACAGCAGTGTGCATATTCTCCATACTGCTCTCTATACATTTCCTAAGGTGCTGAGGGGAATTTCGAAGGAGAATTTGTTCAACAATCACAAGCTTCTTAAGCTAGGGATTGTTTCCTTAATTCTCATGACCGTTAATATGTGATTCTGGGGTGATATTTGAACACATGTTGGGAGAAATTGGATGTTTGTCACTTCTGAAAGGGTTAAGTGAAATCATGAGTCACAGCCAAATAGTTTCGACACAAGCTCATTGAGTACAAATAACATCTAGATCCTATTTTTACCATGCATTTCTCAAAACTGTGGTTGTTTTGATTGCCATGGTCAGTAGAATAAAATTCTCAAGGACTAATTTGCTGCAAAAGTGACCAATTTAGTGACATGTATTCTGTGTTCAAGCGGCAACCAACAATGTTTTTAATTTTTGTAATATATGGTCTATGTGGGCCGAAGATAAACATTTACAAATAAAATATATGCTGTAACATTGCACAAAATTTAATTTTTAATGTAACTTTTTTAAGATTCAGGGCTGTGGTCTAGCCACACCTGATGGCCCCTGGCACCTTACTTTTGCTCTTGGGCAACTCAGGAATCTTAGTTTTTTCCATAAAAAGCATATGCTGGGCAGCCTGGATTTCACAGTTTCAGAGCACTGGGTTCCCTTCAATTTTTCTTAGAACACAGCCTTGAGCATGGAGCCCTATTAACTTTTGGTTCACTTTTTTTTTTGATGTACAGACATTTCAACTCCTGTTTCTGTATTGTAGTTTTTACTCAAAAAAAGCAATGTCTGAGGGTAATTCACCAAGATAAAAAAAAGCAACACAATCCTTTTACCTGCCCTGATGTAATACCAGTCAGGATCATATGGGGCAAGTTCTTTCCTTTTCGCTGTTTTTACCAAGTCCACCCATTCAGGAACCTTCAGCTTTCCACCCCTTTGTTGGTCAAATAAAGGAAATATGAATTAGCAGGATGGAAATCTATGAAAGTAACCATGGTTACCTTATCATTCCTCTGACCTCCTTAAAACCATAATGACTGTACACTTAGGTTGAATTTTTCATTACATACATGTAATAAATTAGTTTATAATTTATATAGTACCTATTGCAAGCCTCTAAGCGCTTTACAAATGAAAGAGCGAGGGAGAGAAACAAATGTTTCGATTAAATGCTTGAAAATCCCAACTGACAGGAGCCAGATCAAATGGCTGTTTACACAGTGCAGCCAGGGAGTTGAACTTGGGGCAACCAAGAACAAATCCAGTGAGTGGCAAGGCGGAGGACTTAAACCTTGAACCACCAGATTAGAAATCTAGTGCCCTCACCACACTGCCTCCTAAAATGTAGGTGTTTACATGAAGAAAAAGGTATACTGAAATGAATGTGCACTTTAAGGATTCCTTTGCACCATTCTTAGGATTTAAAACATAACCAGTTACAACAAAGTAGAAGTTTTTTCCTCTTTTTTTTCTCAACCACATATGTAAGGCAAAGAATCACAACTGCAATCCATCTATTCAGTAATTAGGGGTTTCATTAATGTTTTTTGCAGGAGGGCAACTGGTTTTCACAGGTGGGCAAAACTCTTTGAAGTGAATTTTTTTATGAGATAAACTTTCCTCCAGATGGTCAAATCAGGAAGGCAAAGCTGTCCTCACAACCGGTCAATTTGCCTGGTGCCTGGCCCTTAATGAAACCCCTGAGTAATACAGAGACCTAAACTAGATTTAATCTTTGAGTAACAAAAAATCAAATGAATGACTAAGAATATATGAAAATCATATGTGTGAATGGCAGTTAATATGAACCAACATAACGACCAGTCTGCAGTTTTAATAAAATGCTAACTAAAACAGATGCCAAATATTTTTCAATTTTTCACTGCAATATCAGAAGTCTTTCTAAAAACCTAAATTTAGTGGAAGAACTATTATACTCCATTGATACCAAGGTGGATATTCTTGGAATTACAGAAACCAAATTAGGTGAGAATTCTGTTTGTAAAGTAAATATCAACGGCTATAATTTATTTCACACAGACTCTCCAACAAAGGCAGGTGGAGCCGCTCTGTATATTGCTAATAATCTTAAAGCAGTACCTAGGCCTGATATTAAATTTGATATAACACTAGTTGAATCATGCTGGGCAGAAATTGATGCTGGCAAGGTAAAAAGAAGATTATAATAGGCTGTAACTACAAGCATCCTACTTGTGATCTAGAACAGTTTTGCAACCAACTAAATGATATAATCAAATCAATTAATTCCAATAGGCATGAAATTTACATCTTTGGAGATATGAATATAAATTTCCTGAAATTTAATGAACACGTCCAAACTGAAGAATTCTTAGATATGCTCTATGCCAACAACATCTTACCAATCATTACTAAACCTACCAGGCTTACTGATCATACAGCAACACTCATTGACCATATATATACAAATTGTTTTAAAAATCTTACAGCAGGAATCCTGACAGTTGATTTAACAGATCATCTCCCCATTTTCTGCATAGTTAAAACCCAGCCCACAC